TATCTTAGGTCTTGAGCGTACAGGGCATAGAGAACTGCTGTGGCAGCTTTATTTCCTCTCTGAAACAGCTGAGATACTGTCACGTAAGCATAGGCTTGTTCTTATGCAAAGTTCAATTTTTCTTTTTTTATGGTGCCACTACTTGCCAAGGTTCCTTGATCCCAATGCCGTATTACAGCTGTTGATATTGAGTATGTGAAGAGAGGCAAATAAACCCATGTCTTGATTAGACCCTGGTTGGCCGAGCCGCCTTTGGGACACATAACCAACGAGATACGGCGTCAGAATGATTGGAAGGGGCGCTACAGCTGCTTCCCACTCTGCGTTCTGTCATTGACTTAATTTAGGGCTGGATCATGGCCCTTTATGTTTTGCTGTTTTCCTTTATAATGTTACCCTACAAAACTATTCCTCAGTGCTATCATCATCATCTTCTGTGTATTTATCTGGTGATAAACAGTCAATCTTGTTGTACCACAGCCAAAGAATAACTGTAAAGAATTTGCAGAAAGTTGCTGAAATGCTTTAATGACCACACACAGAGCTTTAACATGGTTCATGGATTTGGGAAGGGGAAAAAAAAAGAAATAACCCTAGAAGCTATTTTTACATTTTTATTTTAGGATTCACAGATATCATAACTGTTCTGGAATGACCTGTGCACTGCATGGGTTTTTTTTTTTATGTTTTATATTTCTTATTTTCATAGATAGCTTCCTGAAAGGTTAACGCTGCTGCTGGATTTGAGAGAAATCCTACAAGAAGCAATCGTAAACTGGTTTTTGGCACCATTAACTTGTTTCTCCAAAGCAATAAAAAAGAAAATGAAGGTAAGAAAAAAATAAAGGAGTGTTGTGTTCTTCACGTATTGAGAAGGTTAAACTCACTTGTGTATTATTTGAGTACATTGTGCAATAGAAGGACTGACTTTGCTTTCAGACACAGAAATGTTTTGTTGGGGTGTACTACGTGTGTAGTCTGGTTCAGTGGTTCCCAAACCATGATCCGCAGAACACTGGTGGTCCAGGAGGCCATGGTAAAAGGTTTGCAGCTAATCTGCAGAGCCATATTAAACAGTGTTTTTAATAGTGTTTTCAATTAAAAGTTTGATGATAATGATGCCTGGTGGTCCACAAGAAATTCTGAGGGTTGATAGCAATCCAAAAAAGTTTGGGAAGTTAGGGAACCTCTGTTCTAGTTCCTAGTGTGTTCTTTAAAAATGCATATCAATATTCAGTCCTTTCTTCTTCACTCTCCAGCTGAAGTCAAGCTGAAACTCATGTTTTAAAGTGTATCTTGTTGACTTTCAGGATTTCTTTCTTCATTTCCTTTTAAAAATATCAATTCCTAATCTATTATTTGAAAAACTGGAAATATGAGATACAGTAAACACTAGATATTAGACAAATTTAAGTTTTCCTTTCTCTTCAGGATGAGAATAAACGAGAATGTGAAGTCCGCCTCATGAAGATTTTTGAGGAGTGCAGACATTTTTGAAACATAAGCAGAAAAGCTTATAAATGAACAGGAACATATTCTTATCAGGGCTAGCTATAGTTCAATAGATTTACCAAGAGATTGAGTAGAGACATACCGCTTCATTTTTATTTGAAAGTTCAACATATTCTATATGTATCCAGCATAGAAGGTAAGGCATTTTATAATGGCCACTTTGTCAGTGACTGTCCAGGAGCTTTCGCAAGGCACTTACCTTGATCAGTTTTGTAAAATAAAGAATACTCTATGTCTTTATCATTCCTCTCCCCCTCTTCCCCATGATACCCCTGATTACCTTCAGTACCAGAGAAAAGTATCTTTCTTTCACCCACTTAAGAGCTATAGGAGTAGTGAAATTATCTCAAGTCATGGGATAATACCAGATGGAAACCATACTGATTCTCTGAAAAGATCACTGTTGTATTTCAATACAGTTATAAAACAAGAGGAGCTCAGAAATATAACTTGGATTGAAAATTGGACTTCTTTTGCAGGTTAGGGCGTCCTAGTAAATGCTATTCACTTGTACCCATTGAATCTGCTAAAAATTAAATTTAGGGTTTTTTTGTTGTTGTTTTGGTTGTTTTTTTTTTTTAATTAGAGGGTGTTCTGAAACTTCTTTTGAACTTTGGTATAAACATGACCTGAGCAGTTCTCTAAACACCTAGGATCAATACAGTCTATCAGAAAATGCTGATGAAGGAGGAAGGGAAACCTCTGTGCTCAGATAAAGTATGTGCTGCGTAGAGAGCCTTCCCGTAACATGTCACTGTCACCATGTGGAATCATTTCTAAGCAAGTCTTTGTCAGGTGGCTAAAACAATTTAAATAATGATTGCTGTGATACCTGAATGGGGAACAGCAACCTTATCTTATGACATTTTCAGAGATTCAGAAAAAATATTTAAAAATATTCCCGTTCCGCAATGAAACAAAGTCAAGACTTTCCAAAAACAGTCATGAAAAGGGGAAAAGCTATTGCGAATAGCAGCAGATTTGGGATTTGACCCAACTAACTTGAAGCTGGATTTTTCTTTTCCTGGTAAATATCCTGATCACCTAGTCATTTGGCAGCATATTTGCTCACTGTCTGTGTCTCAGAATAAAAATCCCTCATTTAACTTTAAAAAGTTTTCTGTCATGTAGACTGGAATAATTCCAGTGAGATCTAATTTTGATGGAAAAGACACTGTTTGGCTCTTATTGTATTAATCCATTTCAGTGTTAGAAATACCTTCCTTGGTGTCAAAGATGACATTTCTGATTTAATTTCCAAAATATACAATAGTAAACAGAAATTCTGTGATCTGATAGCTCCCATAGAAGATGACCATCTATACCAACTGAATTGAAGCTATTTTATTTTTGTTAAAAGTGGTGAAGGTTGCTTCTTGCAATCTGACAGGGCATGAGAGAATTCTTGCATGTGGTCTGCTAGTCGGAGCTGTTTGCCTGACTTCATTTGCATTCTGACTGCAGGTTGCCTTTAAAACAAGCTCTAACACCCACTAACGTAGGCGGTTTTTGCTCACACAAACAGATGTTGGATCGTTGCTTCCTACAATGAGCAGTTTCTGGCAGATAGGGTGAGAGGAGTCTATTTATCCATTGTTGCCATCTTGGAGCAGCCTATACTTTATCCCTAATTTAGACGTCATCTCTGACTAACTTTTAGACTGCTAACAGAGCGCTAAACTTAATATGGTCTGATGTGGAAATTATTACAAGTTCCATAATTGCTGTAGTTTACTACATTCTAATACACATATATTCAGCAGCATGTAACCACAATCAGCTGAGAATTGTGTATGATAAATATGTATTTTGATCATTCAGCTATGGGTGCAGCTTTACATATTTAACTGTTTCATAGTTATTAGCAAGGCATCTATTTTTCTGAGTAACTAGACAAGGATATTACTATTTCACACATAATTCAGAAATGTCTTTGTCTGCAGCCAGATGAATAAGGGTGCTACTGAATGTCAGCTATTAGAACTGTAATTTATCTTGAAATATTAGACTGTGGAATATATACTGTTTAGACAGTAATTTGCTAAATCCTGGATCAACAATGATAGAAAAAAAGTTACACACTGCTATTAAACAAAACAAACTTACACAGTCTGTAGACACCAGTGGAGCTTTGATTATATGACAAAATACAACATAGGTCAGTGGTAAGAGGAAATGAACTATGGCAGAAGGTGGACTTTTTGCCAAACTGATCCTTCTGGACAAGTCTTCTTTTTGCAATTGAAAGCTGAGGACACATTGAATCATTTCTTATGGGGAGAAAACAATAGATACGTCTAAATGAATAGGCTAAAATTGAACAGCAGCACTCCAGGTGGGGATGGGCAAAGATTTTTGCTGTCAGGCTTAGCGACTTTGTATTTTATTCAACATATTCTTTAACAGTTCTCAGAGCAAATACTACAGACGCTTCTCTTTGGGTTGGATCCAAGGGTAATAGCAATCAGTGAGAGTTTTCTCACTGTTTGGAGCAGATCTTTTCTCTATTTGCATTTTTAGTGTAACTGATTTTAGGCTTCTTGAAGTGTAATCTAAAAGCTGAATGCAGGGGTCAGGACAATTTTTCCAGCCCTCTAATTTACTACACCCAATGCTACATGCAAGAACTACAGAACACTACAATCTGCTTTGTATAAGCAGAAAATATTAAAAAGTAGGGCTGGGAAGAACCTCACGAGGCTGTCTAGTCCACCCCTCAACCATCCCTCAACATAGGCTAATAATACAGGTCATTCATAACAGCTTGTTATTTATCCTGCCCTTAAAGACCATCAGTGGTGGAGATGCTGCAGGCCCCCCTGCGTAGCCTTTTCCAGTGCTCAGGACTTCTGTTGTTATACAGAATGTTGTTAACCTGAAACTGTCTCACTGAATGGAAACCTACTGCTTCTTCCTGTACAAAGAACTGATTTTTCCATTCTTCTAACAGCAGCCTTTAAGCAGTTGAAGACTTTTGTCCCCTTTCTAGACTCGTTCAATCAGTTAGTCTAGGATATAGTTTCAGGACCTCTGATCATTCCTGTTGCTCTTGCCTGGACTCTGTAGACTGGTCGGCACGTTTCTTGCAGTGCAGCACCAGAGATGCACCCGAGCGCTCCAGCTGAGGCATCACCCGTTCTAGGTGGAACAGAAGGAGCACTTCACGTGTCTTGCAAGCTGTACTCCTGTTTACTGATGCCCAGTATGGTGATTTCACAGCAGCAGGACATTTTTGACTCTTACTCAGTTTGTGGTCTTCTGTGCAGCGTTATCACGCCAGATGTTTTCCATCTTGCCTTTGTGTAACTGATTATTCCCACATATAGATTTTTACTTGTCTTTCTTGTTTACTTCCTCTTTCTTTTCTTTTTCCTTTTTTCCAGACCATTTCTGGAATTTTTCATGATCGTTTTCAATTTTGAAATCTCCAGCTTCCTGGCAGTTCTTCCCAGCTTGGCATCGTTGTTAAATTTAGTAAGCATTCCTTATTCCTTCATGCAAGTCAAGAAGGTAAATACTGACCAGTGTCAGATGCAGCACAGATCACAAGGAAACCCATTCAGTGCCTCCTTCCTTCCTTCCATTTTGATAGCTATCCTCAAAGTACAATTTCCAGACAGTATGTCCCCATTTGGTTGCCGTTTCCGTAGTTTTCTTAGGAGAATGTCCTATGAGACAACGTCAAAAGCCTCATTTAAGACCAGGATATATGATATAAACTGCTTGTTCTCTGCCTCTGAGGAACGAGGTGGCATAAGAAGGAAATTAGATTGGTTTGACTTCATTTGTTCTTGACAGATCTTTGTTGACTGTTACTCATCTCCTTGTTTTCAGTTATGAGTTTACGAATGGGTTTTTGTTCCCATATTTTTTCACTTACTGAGATTAAGCTGATTGGCCCTGTCATTCCTCTCTTTTTTTTCGTTTAGACAAAGGCAATGCATTTGTGTTTTCAACTCCTCTTAGAGTTCTCCGCAAGTTTTCAGCTCTAATGGCTGTCAGGACTAATGGCTCTAAAAGGACTTCATTAAGAGATGAGGGACAGCTGACTAGCAAACATTGATAAATACTTCCCTATATCTAACGCTGAGATTGTATTCCTCCGCTGATTATATTTATTCTGTAAGCATCTGCTCACCATTGACCCTTTCAGTGAAGGCTGATGCAAAAATTTTTTGGCCTTCTTGATATTATCCTTTCTTTATACCCCCCATTGAAGTCTGCTACACTGAGCAGTGGACCATTGGGTTTTTTGTCACTGACAAAACATTGAGTGAATGATTACTGTGTAGCTTGCTGTCGAAATATAGTCAGATCATGGTCAAGATATAGTCAGTCACGGTCATATGGTTCTTCTTGTAGCTTCAGCATTCAGAAGTGTTCATGAATGAAGAACCTGATGTAGACTGAATAGCTGTTACTCTGGCTGGACTTCCTGATGACATCTCATGGAGTCTTCCAGTTACCATGTTGGGTAACATTCTCTTTACAATATTTATTCTTTTCCTGTTTCCTGCCTAAAACTTTTCTTTCTTATTACTGTTTAATTTAAATAGAGTTTTGTTTGAGTTTATTTGTTTCATCCAAATAGGTCTGCTTAATCAGAGTAGATCTATGTCGAATGTAAACAAATGAGAATCAGGGGTTTAACATGATTTCAGCAGCTTCTTTGTAGACTGTTCCTTATGTCAGTTATAGGTTACGCTTGGGAGGGACAGAGAATGATACAGGTTTCAAAACTGAGAATATGTAGTGTTATGACATAATAGTTTATACACAGAGTCCTCTGTTATTCAGCATTTTTCATTTCTAGGCTGTCACTAAGTTTTTATGGTTGGAGGTGCCAGAATTTTGGCCATCCTCTCTCAACTGGATTGTTTCCTGTTGCTCGTGTGGGTTTGTCAAATTTTCTTTTAGAATGGGCTGTACACGAGCCAGATTTGTTTCACACTTGCCTCTTTGCAGCTCCTTGCTGTCACTATTTATAGTACTTTTGGAAGCATGTCTATTTAAAAAAGCTATTTACTGTGCTTCTGCTTTTCACATTTTTTCAAGCACTTTTCCAATTTCATGGTCATTTTCTGAAGGCTTGGTGATGCTTTCCACAGTGGTTTCTGTAATAAGGCTTCCAACAATTTATGGGATTGTTTTTCTTAATTTACCCCATAAACATATTTAGTTAATTCCTGGCAACTGTAAATAATTGTCAGCATTACTGTTCTGAAGTGAGCATAATTCTGTTATCAACTGTCTTTTGGCAGCATGTACTTTGGAGTTTTCTAGGACAGCTCGTGTGAGTTTAGCAAGCTAGCTATGAGCTTTGGGAGGATCTTTTAAAGTGCCCGGAGAAACAGGTAATTTGTAGGCTCTCACCTGCAAACCTGTATTTGTTGTAGCAAACTGTTCTTATCAACTCAGAGCTAACAGACTGTCTGTGTCTCATTCTTACAAAAATGGGGAAATTGAGTTTTGATTCAAAGCACCACTGTTTGTTTTTGTCAAGGTTTAGTCAAAACATAGTGCTAAGCAGTCATTTAAAGAATGCACAGGACCATGGCTTGAGAAATAGGCGGTGCACAAAGCATGAGGGGAAGTTTCCAGATGCCCTGTACCACTGAGAAAAGTCTGTGGAGTGTCACAGTCGGCTGTGTTTTCACAATGCTGCTGCTAATACCATCCCAGCAATATGTGGGAAGCAATAACTGGAGCAGAGAGATAGTCTCCTGTCTATGTTCTGTTCCTGAATCTATTGAGGTTTCACTGAGGGACTTAATGATTCCCTGCTTTTTTTTTTTTTTTTTTTTTTTAAATAATAATGACTAGTGGTTTGATATATTGTAATATCTGAACGCTCAGCTGGAGAGATCTTGCAGAGTATTGGATTTTTTAAAGTTCTTTGCACCCATTGTTGTAGAGATGGACTCTTGAAGGCACCTCAGAAAAAATGAGTACTAAAATATGCTAATATCCTTAAATGAAATGGAGCTTTGAGAAAACAGGTGTTATAATAGTTCAGTCACATCAGTGTATTCATGATAACAGTTTTTATGTGCAGGATTTATCTGCGCATCATGCTCCCTATTTTTATGGGCATTTCACAAGGAGAAGTAAAACAGTATTTAAGAAAAAGAGAAAGTAATCTACAAACGTGTGGACAGATCTTTTTCTTTTTCCTTTTTCTTTAAGGTTGTTATTGATAGTGCTCTTGCATTACAATATGGCCTGTTAAAGTTTTCTGAGAGATCTGCATGGCACTCAACAAGGGAGAGGTTGTCAACTCCAATTTAAGAAATAGAAAATATGCTTTCTACATCACCAAAAAAAAAAAAAACCAGCAAAAGCAAAAACTCTGCCAGGGAGGGGGCACAGTATTATTACATTCTTTAAGGAAATTACTTTTCAAGTCAACTTTATGCTCCGGTTTAGCAGGGTGCAACTGCTGAGAAAGGTGTTACCAAACCTTTTAGGTCACTGGGATTTCGTGTGTGCAGGTTTTGTAGGCCTTCAGTGAATCAAGCAGTTCAGAATGGGTATTCTCCTTGGCTGCCAAGAGAGGATCCTTCCAACCTTAATTACTCGCTGATTCTATGATTTGATTTGACTTTGCTGTGGACCCAATTTCACAAATACTCTGTCATCCCCACTGCCATGCATGTTAATATTAAGAAGTCATTGCCTTGCAAAATCAGACCTTCTCAGTGAATTTACTGCATGGACTCTGCTGGGTCGGTATTTTAATTAACTCTTTTCAATCATTTAAGTGGCCTGATTTATAAATACACTGTGTAGAAGCACAGTTCTTTAAAAATAAATCTCCACTGCCATTTGCATGAAGTCATCTTTTCCTGTATTATCTTATGTCACTTCTAACCTAGATAGCAAATCCCTGAGGGCAGTGGTCATGTCTGTAGTCTTTTGTAAATCACTGTGCACACCTGCGCTTTGCTGTAGAAACATGTTAAATAATAACACCTTTTAAAGGGTTCACTGAATTATGGGTAGTTGTAAGCACTAAGCTCTTATATCTGGGCATGCCAGAGTGTCTGTGGGTGTGTGTCTGTGTGTGCAAATGTCTATGGATGCTACAGATGAAATTTCAGCTCTCACTTCAGAATTTCTTGAGGCGGTTTACTTAAATTGTGAACGTTACCTCAGTATGTTGTGCAGAGTCTCTTAGTGGGCCAGTACCTTTTTGCTCTAATTATTTGAATTACGTACAGCTGAGTGATACCCAGGTGAAACTGGTGTTAAACGCAGGTCTGTTTTTGCAAGAGAGAGTCCATGCCTTAAACAGCTGAGCCTTTCAACTGGAGAGGGCAACAGACGGGAACTTTTCTCAGCTCTGTTTCCCAGGTGATGAGCTGGGGCACAAGAAGATTAAGGCATTTATCCCTGTGGCCAAAGGAAATATATTATAAAAAGCAGTTCTCTTGTTGGAGTCCCTTCATGGGAAGGCCTCAGAGGAGGTCAGCTGCAGAGCTCTCATCTCACATCTGAAACGCAAATTCAGCAGGGTTTTTGTGGAGGATGCCCATGCAGCTAAATGGTGGAGCAGGACAACTTCATGAATGCCACGTTGTTCCCTGGAACTGGGGATTCTCTTCTCTACTCTTCACATCCTATTGTAGCATGTCAGCTACTGTCAGAGCCTTAGAGGAATTTGGATGCAGCAATGCTCAGCATCATCTTGCCTGCCATCAGTGCAGAAGTGCATGGTATTTAAAGCCTGCTCCTGGCACCCTGTACTCCTCACACCTCTTCAGAGACCATACCTGCGCAGAGTTAAATCCATGCCCTTCCTTTACTTCTAATTTGAAAAAAAAAACCTAATGTAACTGTCTTGCCAGAGGTCTTGCTGAGGTTGCATTTGCTTCTGTCTCAGAGAGATGCTAAATGTTTTGGTGTCCCCATATGGAAATAGTTAACCATGTTCCCTGATCATCAGTAAGACACCTGCAACCATAGCAGGGTCTTAGCAGCTGGCCTCTTCTATGTGTCAGCATGAACTTTTAGTTCATGTTACTGTATTGTAATCCCATATAAGCCAACATATTTGTTTGATATATAGAAGTATTAACCTAGAAACCCCCTTTCCGAAACGCATGCAAAGCAAGAGCAATAGCAAGCCAGCGTAGCCCTAGACATTTTGCAAGGATGAGATACTGCTTTCAGATTAGACACCAATATTTACAATATACAAAAGTAATTACATTTTAGGGCACAGTCCAGATAGCTAGAGCGAAATCTACAACGGGCTGTTGGCTCCGCAGCTTGGCTTTTAGGCGTTCCGCTGCCTGGTGTTTTCCACATGGCCAGGACGTGGGGCTAGCCTTACTGACCAAGTGTTGAGAGCGTTTAGACACCAAAAAGCAAGCCTTCCAGAAGCTCACAAGCTATAAGGAAAGTCCTCAAAATTGGCAATAGAAAATTCAGAAAAAAAGGGAAGGATTCTGAATTCACCCCAGCAGAGAGTTAAGCCAGATTCCCCTGCACAGTCTGCCTGTCTGACTATTCTGCCAGCAGGCATCTAAGTGTAATTGCTGAAGGGCATATGGTGTGTTTAGTAAAGGAGTTCCTATCCTTAAAATATTTTACTGTCAGCCCATTATCCTGTTCTATATTCTGCTTGGGGAAAAAGATTTCACTACATTAAAAGCTAGAAGATGATTTTGTTGGTCTCACTGGTTAGGATAGAGACTCTGTTGAACACAACAGAACTTCTTCTAGTGTATTCATCTTGCTTTTCAGAGTGGCGTTTTACCTGATTCTACCAAGTATAGAATTAGAATGACTTTTATAAAATAAAGTACTAATTCTACGTAGTCATTACATTTGCAAAATAAGGTCCTCTCCTATGAAGAAAGGCTGAGAGAGCTGGGCCTGTTCAGCCTGGATAAGAGAAGGCTGAGAGGAGATCTCATCAATGCGTACAAGTATCTGAAGGGAGGGTGTCAAGAGGATGGAGCCAAACTCTTCTCCGTGGTGCCCAGTGACAGGACAAGAGGCAAGAGGCACAAACTGAACCACAGGAAATTCCATCTGAACATGAGGAAAAACTTCTTCACTGTGAGAGTGACAGAGCACTGGAACAGGCTGCCCAGAGAGGTGGTGGAGTCTCCTTTGCTGGAGATATTCAAAACACGTCTAGATGCGATCCAGATTGCAATGTGCTCTAGAGGACCCTGCTTGAGCAGGGGGGTTGGACTAGATGATCTCCAGAGGTCCCTTCCAACCTCAACCGTTCTGTGATTCTGTTTATGAATAGAGGTAGTATCTTTAGATTGAATAGCATACACTAGGCATCTACTTGGCCTAGATAGGATCTAATAAATAATGGTTTTTTTAAAAGTATTTGTCACAGATATCAGGTCTAAGTCCAGAGCAATATCATAAAATGGCATAACCATCTGTAGTGTTGTAGCTTTCGCTCTAATAGCAAGATAAGGGGAATATGTTATTTAACTGTGAAATAACTATGACATTAAATAACTATGACATACATTTCATAGTTATGAAATAACTATGACATTAAAAATGCTTTGACCTATATACCTTTTTGTGGTAATAGCGATGAACATGGAGTAAGTACCGCCCATCCTCAGAAAAGCTGACAGCCAGGCTGGGTGGTCCGAGAAGTGTATGAGACTGCTGGCCAGAGCTACATAAATCTTGTGTACCTGGGACAGTATTGTCCAGGCACACAAATTATTATGTGTTCATCTTTTCTGGACAGACAGTGACTCTGGCCTTCCAAGGGGCCTCAAGATATTCTTCAAAGAACTGTATAGACATAGATAAAAGCCCTTTTCCTACACTTGACAAAAATGGAAAAATAATTTTTAGCAAATAGCAAACTAGAATGTTGCCTTTCTGTAAAAGGTGCACAGGAACGTAATGGAGAGGTTCTGGCTGTGCTTGCTGGGAATTCTTTTATGTGTTTCTCTGGTGCAATCTTGCCAAGGCAGGCTTGACAGGTGAGATGCAGTGAGTCTTGATGTGGTGGTTTAGGATGTTACCACACCCCAGTTACTGCCCATGGTAGCAGAAGGACCGTGTCTCATCTGCTTTAGTTCACGGTCCAGCCCAAACTAGCCCTTCCTTGGCAGTTTCAGTGGGGAGGCTGGGTCTGCCATGCGTCAGTATGAGCACGCCTTCCCTTCTGATAATTCTGCTTCAGAGATTGCATCTTGCAGGTATAGGGTAAATAGCTGGGCAAGCGTGTCATAAATTGCTGGCATCATCTGCGAGAGCTTAAATTTTGTGGAAAGCAAATGCGAACGTTCTGGTGAAAGGGCTCAATGGTGAAGCTGCTTTCAAATTTGCTTAAATATTTTCCAGGTGCTCTTAC